TTGCAAGTTGTTGTGATTTATTGCCTTGTGCTTTGTTGCCTTTGCATATTCCTGTATGTGATTTTTGGTTTGCAACTTCTTGTCTGAAAGATGTTATAGATGCTCTGAATGTTGTCATTGATAGGGTTGGGAGGGAGGTTGTCAACATCCCATCCTTCATGGTGAGGGTTGACTTACAAAAACGTATCAAATTCTCTCTAACAAGTCCATTTAGAGGTGGCCGCCCTGGAAGAGTGAAGAGAAAGAAGAAGAGAGCAGCCGCCAAAAAGGCTGCTGGTGAAGATGGTGATGAAGAGGAAGACAAGTAAACCTAAGGCTACTATCACTACTAGGAACCTTTAAAAAGGCTATGTGGAACTTACCATTTCCTCCATTATTAGACATGGTTTGAGTTTTGTTTCCAGACCTTTATTGTAGTGGATCTTAGTATGTGTTTTTCATTTGTTATTATGTTTTTTCCTAGATTAGAAGTTAATTGAGTATTAATTGTGTTGTTCTAAGATTAAAATATTTTAATTGACTTTGTTTCTATCTCTCAAAAAAAAAAAAAAGTGACTACATTTTTATGTCACTATAATCATATTTTATTTTGAAACTTTTTAGTGATTATTATTTTGTGATTACAAGTGCAATTTTTTGTAATAAGAAATAATTTTAATATTTGTGACATAATTTATTTAACATTATTTTGATGAACACTAGTAAGGAAAAATTTGTCACTAATAAAAGTAATTTAAGTGACGATAGTTTTGTAACTATTGCAATACCTTTAGAGTCAATATTATCATCACAAGAAAATCATATTATTGTGATAACTCTTTTTGTCACTATTTTAAATTTTTTTAGAGTAAAAAAAAATTGTTATAATAAATTGAGCTATTGTGACAATTTGTTTTAGTTACACGTTCCAATACTTTTAGAGTTAGAATTTATGTAAAAAAATAAATCTATTGCAATGACTTAATAAATGTTGTCACTAATACAATATTGACAGAGTTATTTGTAATGATAAGTGATGACTTTAAAATTGGTCACTATAAATTTGAGTGATTAAATTTTATATTTTTGGTAATAAATTTTTTTTCTTCACTAAAAATATTTTTTTTGTAGTAAAAAATTACTCATATTCATTAAATACTCGTAGAAATAAAAATGAAGATAAATTTAAAATATTTATTAGATATGAGTACAAAAATAATATAATATAAAATTTTTTTTAAAAAAAATGCTCTTTCTTATATTATACCTACTGACATCCTTAAACAAAGACACTAAACATGCTTATCCAAATGCAATATCCAACACCAACAACTCATCTTACTATAAATTTATAAATATATCTGAGGGAGAAATTGGCGGTGCTATGAGTTCTGGTAGACATTGAAGATTTGCAAAGAATAGGTCAATTTTCATCTAAAATGCAAAGAGAGAAAGAACAATCTGTAATAATCTTTATATGTTTTTGAAATGAAAGCAATCAGTATGTTGAAATCATAGAAAGAAATGGAAAATCTGTTTGATAAGTTGCTATCTAAAGTTCACTGAACTTGGACATATACAATAAATTGTAGCCTTCTTCCATCTTAAAATTTTCATTTATTCTTTTCAAAATTCAAATATGCAACCTCTAAAGTCTATACTAAATTTTGAAATTTAATTCTTAAGTATTTTTAAAGACAAAAAGATTTTATATTTAAGATACAATAAATTTTGAAATTAATATAATATGTTAAGATTTTATATTTAAAGATTATCAATATATAAATGTTATACATAATTAGTGCATCATAAATTATTATGTTACAACTTAACAAATTTAAAAAGAGTTGAATGGAGAAAAAATTAAAAAAAATATATATTTTAAAATTTAATATTATAATATTTTAAATTTATTTATAAATGAGATAACGATTTGTGATGCATTGATGAAAGGTAATATTTATATACTAATCGTAAATCATAAATTTATATATATTAATAAATCGTTTCTTTTAACTTTTCATTACAAATTTTTTTTCTTATTTCTTGAAACAATAAATTTGTAATACAAAAATGATAATAATATAAAATAAAAAAATACTAAAGTTGAACATGGAACATTTTAAAATCTCAAACTATTAATAAACTAGTTTGTGACCCATACGATATACGATATACGAATTAATTTTATTTATTGATTAAAATATTTTAAATTTGTGAAATTATTAATTAAAATTTATTATAACAAACAAATTGAAAAGACTAAATTAAAATATCTATCAATAATTAAACATTAATTCACAATAAAATATTTATGTAATCAATAGATAAAAAAAAATTACTTTGGATCCAAAAAGAAATTTCTTTGGAATATAGTTGATTCTCAGTTTTAAATTTATGTGATTCCAAAGCCAATAATTAATGTAATACTCGAGTTACAAAACAGTAAAAAATAATATTTATTGACTAAGCAAAACTTACTATCATTACCTTTATGAAAAATAATATTTTGTGACTTAATATTCATATGCATAATTCATGTTATCACTTTTTTTACTTAAGAAAAAATGTGTTAATATAAAAGTTGAAAAAATAAATATTTAAAAATTTAAATATAGTAGCAATAATATATTATATTACATTAATAATTAAACATAACCTTGCATGTTAAAACCATTATTGAGAAATTTCATATGTCAAAAAACAAGTAGTAAGATTAATGACTAACAATTATTTGACACATAAATAGAATCTTTGCATAAAGCAAAATTTTTACAGTTAAACTCAACACATAATACAAAAAATCTAATGAATGAAATACATATATATTAATCTATAAACGATATAAACCATTTCTTTATTCAATGATTTTTTCTTGGCATATATATACTACCCCAAATTTTGTTTTAAATGTTTGGAAATCTTGATCTTGATAAAAAAAAAGTAATTAAAATAATTAAAAAGTGAAGCAAATAAAAAAAAGAGTTAAAAATAAATGATAATGTTAGAAAAGAAAATTAACTCAAAAAAATTGACTTAACTTAACTTAATTGTAATATTGATCAAACCATTAAAAAATAATTTGAATAAAAATAATATATTTGTAGGATTATTAGATGTGGAAATACATACTTCAATTTAACCTATAATTATGCAAGTTCAATCAAGGAAATATTAAAAGATTTTGAAAATATAAAGGATATAATAAGTAATTTAATTTGTTTGAATTTTTGTTAAAAAAATACCAAATATTAAAAATTATGAGGAAATTCTATGAATATATTCAAAATTTCAAATTTAAAAAAAGATATAAGTAATATATTGAAAATTTTATTTTAAAAGAAATATATCAAAATTAATATTTAATTTAATAATGCTTACATATAATTAATCTAAAATATTTTAAAGTAATATAAACATAGGAAAAGTGAAAAGGTTTAGTAACAAACTTATAATGATTTAATAAAAAATATTTATATTTAAAAGTTAGGCCTTTGAATTTTGGATTTAATATATTATTGATGACACAAGTTAGTTGAAGATTTTTTTGTGATTTAAATTAAGTTAAATTTTATATAAAATTGAAATATTGGATAACCTTAATTTTTAAACTTTTAAAATTATTTGGTAAATAATTAAATTAAAGAATTATCTTATATAAAGATTGTACATGTAAGTGATCATGCAAAAATGCTTATTTGGTCGTATATTTAAAACTATCTTATGTGTTATCAAAATATATTATACACATAGGATTACACGTTAACAAATCTTATAAGGTATTTTTGTAAGTATAATATAATATTATATATGATTGGTTTTTCATTTAAATTTTGATAAATTTTAATCCATAAATATATTTAAATAATAATTTTATCTACAAATAATATCTAATTAGATAATAATATTTAAATTTTGATGTTTTATACCTTTATCCTCCAAAAAAAAAAAATCTAATCAGATAATTATTTGATAACTTTAGATTCAAAAAATTTCATAAAAGTGACCAATATAGCTTATTAGAGTTTAAAAGTTATTTAATACAGACTTTATTCTTATTTTTATTTAGTTTGCACTGTAATTTCATCTGTATAAATAAATAAAGCAAGTTTATTGAGTTTATTTTCTTATTTGTTTTTAAATCATAATAAAAAAATATGTTAACTTAAGTGGGCTCTAATTAAATTTATTATGAATTGAGAAATAAAAAAAAAAATGTTACAGCTAATTTGAAAAAAAAATTCTTATTTAATGGAGTGAATAATATATTTAGTAAAACAGTACTTGAAAAAGTATGTTAGTTCTTATAATAAAAATATATTAATAAAAATAGAGATTAAATTAATAATAATAAAAAAAACGTTTAACTCATATGCTTTATGGGATATTAAAAAAGCTATACAACTAAAACTACCAACAATGAGGGCTTTTCTGAAATTATTCAAGTATTTATATTTTTTTTTCAAATATTTTCTTAAAATAATAATATTAAAAGCTTATGGTAAATATTAATATTAATTTAAATTTAATTTTTATTTAAATATATTTAAATCTATTTTTTAAAATTGGTGGATTGTTTATTAAAATTATCTTTATCTATAACTAATATATTTAAAAGTTAGAGATAATGTAAGGATTATTTATAAAAAAATTAAAGATATTAAATAATATTTTTAAAATTTTTGATAAATTTAAATAATCATTTTAAGTGTAAATAAATTTAAAAAATTAAATTATTTTAAAATTAATTTTAAATTGAGATGAGATAATTATAGGAAAAAAATTTTATTAAAATTTAAATTGATTTTTGATTAAATTTTAAAATTTTAGATAATTTAATAATTTTTAAAATATAATTTTTATAAATAATTTAAAATTAATAAACATTTTATATGTCATAATAAAAAATATTTAAAATTATCTTCTGTGTAACAAAAAAAAAAACTATTTACATAAATATTCATCTCAATAAATACTATCATGTAATACCGACCACCCAAAGCTAGAGGACTAGACTCGAAGTGCATACAAGTACAACAAAAGAACGCCACCAATCAATTGATCAACGAGGCGGTAAACCAGTGCGAGAAGGATCTCCATCCAACGGTCGTTTTCTTCCGAACAACTGGAGATGTAAGCCAATTAGCCAAAGCTCAAAATGAAAAAAGGTCTTTCCTTTCATATTTTGGACTTGTATTTTTATCAAAGCTGTGCAGTTTTTGCTTCATTCTATCGTTTAAAACGGCCAAGAAGAAAAAGAAAACCGGAGAGTGAGCGAACATGACGATAGGAGTTAAAGCATCGCATTTGACGGTTGTGCCTCAAGCGCTTGCGGTTGCTGGTGCTGTTATGGTATTGGTTTGGTGCATACACTTCAGAGGTGGATTAGCTTGGGAATCTTCAAACAAAAGTCTCATCTTTAATGTAGGTTTTTTGTCTTTCTTTCTTCTCTCTGTTTCTCTTGGGGCTGCATAAAATATTTGTTTACTTTTCTTGTGTTTTTATCAACTCAATTATGGCTTCCAGTAGAATTTTGTTTGATTTCTGGGATTTTGTTTCTCCTTTCGGATTAAATAATTTGGGACTTTGGGTGATTTTGTTCATTCAACCCCAGTTCATATCTATCAGTCGATGGTCCTTTGGCTGTTTGTTACAGTTGACGAATGGAATACAACTCTGCCCTTGCCAAATTATTCGTAGAATCTTAATCGTTGAGCACTTACTAATGAAGGAGAATTTAGGGCTTTGCTGTTTACCATATGGCACTAGGCAAGTTGTTTGATTCTTTGAATTTCATATATGATCATCCCCTTTTTTGTTGCTATGGTATTGGATGCCTCACAATTGTGAATTGACTTGAACGCATCATTTTTTCTGTAATTACCTTCATCAGTCTGTAAAGTCTTTAATAAAATATAATAGAGAAATAATTACAACAAAAAAGAGATCATATCTGTATGGCCTCTCACTGGTAGAGCTCTATTCATTTGATTCCCTAGAAAGGAACGGTACTGCTACTCAAATTCTGTTCTGTAGCCAAAATGTAGCCAACCCAAAACATGGTAGCTACAGAAAGTTAGATTTCATATTCATAGAGGCCAGTTGCTGCTTTAGCCATCACCAAACAACTTGGAAGGTTTCTTGTTGTCGCACCGATTGGGGGATGGACCATGGGGCTAGGTCAATATGCCATTTTTGTGGCAAAATTTTATGCTACGTGGCCATTTTTCATCCCTGCAAACCGGGCTAAAACTATGCATATTAAACTAGTCTGACCCGCCCATGTGTTTCTCATGAGGAAAAGACCTACCTACCCTTCTTTATAACTAAAAAATTCAAGCATCTAGTATCTACATCTTCATCCCATCATTATTATTGTTTTCCTTTTTGGCATTTTCGGTATAAAAATATCAAAAACCTTTCAAGAACTTCACAAGACATTAATATACTACAACGTGTGACGTGGTTTCTGAAAATATCTTTAAAATGGATAATGTTTATAGGAACAAGGAGGATGAGAGACTTAAACATATTCAAATTAAAACTTATGCATAAATTTATAATTTCGGATTTAATTTTTTAATGAGAGACTTGGACATATTCATCGAAACTTGGATTCGAACCAAGCCATTCCCTCCCCATCCCCAAATCCTGTGGACAAAAAAAAAAAAAACTGCCTCTTTCATGTTGAATGCTCCATGAATTCCTGACATTTAAATGTTGCTTCCTTATGTTCAGTTCAACACCATCAATACCCTTCTCATCATGATATGTGGAATAGTTTACCGTCCTTAATAAGGAAGCAATAGGTGAAACAATATTTCAGGCAGTCCGTATTGCTTTGCTAATGTGCTTAAATCCACTAACCATTTAATATTTCTGTAGATACATCCTGTATTGATGTTGATTGGCTTCATTATCTTGGGCGGTGAAGGTAATCCAACTCACCTATTCCGTGATACAAATAGCTTGCTTCTGAATTTTGTTTTCTGGATTGAGTAACAATTCTGAGCTACAATGATCTGAACAACATACAAAATGCAGCCATTATGAGCTACAAGGCATTGCCTCTGAAGAAGGAAGTGAAGAAAGTCATACATCTTGTGCTCCATACCATTGCACTAATTCTGGGCATTATTGGGATCTATACGGCATTCAAGTATCATAATGAGAGTTCAATAACCAATCTCTACAGCTTGCATTCTTGGCTTGGGATTGGAATCATTGTCCTTTATGGCATTCAAGTAATACAATCTCTTGATTAATATATTAACTTGTTTAAACTATATATTTTGGCTTATCACTTATGCTAATTCCTGAAAACGTTTGAAATGTTTGAGCTATTGGGCTTGCCTCTCAAGAATGGAGTGGTGTGGGTCTATTGGCTAATTCACAAGACACCTGGGCAACAGGATTTTCCTTGTTTTCGTTTGGATCTACACAACATGGATTTTTAAGCATGATGAACACATTTGCTCTCTTATAGATAATGATTTTGAAATGGAAACTCTAATTTGCAGTGGATATATGGCTTTCTTGTATTCTACTACCCTGGAGGATCGACTGGATTAAAAAGCGAATCCCATCCTTGGCACGTACTGTTAGGTCTGTTTGTATACAGCTTGGCTGTTGGCAACGCCGCCCTAGGGCTCCTGGAGAAGCTTACATTCCTTGAGAGCTCAGGCCTTGCTAAAAATGATGCTGAGGCCTACCTTGTAAACTTCACAGCTATTGTCACAATATTATATGGAGCCTTCGTAATATTTACAGTTTTTTCCCGGCCTGCTCAAGATGACTCCAGCTACAAGGCTATATAAATCTATGTAGTGATGAATGGATACATCTATTATCTGTATTTTTAGACATGAAATTGTAAATAATTAATATAATAGTGGCAATTTATTGGACCAATGTTATGATTTTATCTATATATGAATGGGCTTTACAGACTTTATATCACCCTATTATCTGTGGATTAAAGTTTTTTGTTTTTTTTTTTTTAATGATTGAGGTATAGTTTAATGGATAATCACATCTTTCACCAAAAAAAAAAAAAAAAAAATCGTTGTCCTGGATGAACAATAAAAAAACAAAATGATTGACTTTTTAACTCACCGTATGAATTAGGATCGACTAAAATAACAAAAAAAAAACTTTTAAACTTTTTTTTTGTTTTTATGTTTATTTAAAAATTACAAAATAATATTATTAATTTATTATAATAAATAATTTTATTACTATATAATAAATTAATAACTAAATAAAATTTGTTATTATATTATGAATTAATAAATAAACAAAAGTATTATTATATAATAAACTATTATTTTTATTAATTTTTAATTATTTAATAAAAAATTTATTATTTGTCATAAAAATAATTTAATGATTTATTTATTTTATAAATATTAAATACTTTAAAATTTTTATTTTGTATAAAATTTTATTTAATATCCTTAATGATCATTTTTTTTCATCATAATTTATCTCACTGTTATCACTAAATTTGCATCCAAGCATATAACTCACTATTAATTTTAATATCATCAAAACCAATCTTAGCACTCATCCAAATAGTTAGGGATGTCAATGAATAAGGTAAAGGGTGTGCAGAGTATTCTTTATCCTTGTATTTTATATTATATCTATCTCTGTACTCATATCTAATAAGTATTTCAAATCTATCTCATCTCTAGGGATAGATCTAGGATTTATACTCCATGGGGCAAATTTATTACATTAACTATCAATGATATAATGTTATATTTACATTGTGAACTATTACTTTATTCAATTTTTTTTTAAAAAACATTTATATATCTTTTAATATTTCAAAAGACTCATCAATGGTGGATTGAGGAATTTTTTCAAGTGTCCATTATAATATGTATAAAAATCTAGCAATGAATTTATCAATTTTGTTGATGAAAAGGGTGTCAATGAAAAAATTCCGGGATGTCAATAGAAAATTTTCTTTAAATTTTTTTAATTTTGAGATATCCATGAAAATTTTTTAAATGTGTCCAATTGAAAATTTCCTTTCAAACTTTCATATTTTCTAATTTTTGAGATATTCATGGACATCCTAATGTAAAAGGTGTATCCACCACCAAGACTCATACTTGAGTATTTCTTTTACAATTAATAAGGTCTAAAAAAAATAAAAATTTTGGATTTGTTTTTAGTAATTTTACTAATTTTTTTATATTTTAATGGGGTAAAAATATACAAATCATTAAAATTTTGGATACCTTGCTAATGGTGAAAATTAATTTAGGTTTTCAGTGGGGCAGTTGTCCTTATTGCCCCATCCTAAATCCATTTCTGTACATCCTTACAAGCATTTAATAAGCAGGGTAATCCTTGTACTCATAATTTTTTTTTAAAATAAAAGTAAAATTATATTTTTTTAATTTTTATCTTATATATTTAAGTAATTTTTATAAATATATATATTAATATATATTCTTTAATAAAAATATATTAATTCTAATTAATCTAAAATTATAAGTTATATTATTTAATAAAAATATATTTACTAAATATATATAAATATATATGTAAAATATAAGTACAAAAAAAGTATTATACTACCTATCTTTATCATCATACTCAATAAAAAAAAATTTACATAAAAAGAATTCATTTCTCTATAAAAATTTAAAATTATACTCGTCTTTATATTCACAATATAATACATACTTATCTCTATTCGAGTAAAAAATTGAGTTTTTCATTAAATATGAGCAAAATTTACTTCCCTACAAATAGACCCTTTATCACTTTTCTTAAATATGTTTTTATACTTTTAATTTATTCAAACAAACTTTTTAATTTTAATTTGTGTCCAAAACACTTTTATTACAAAAAGAATGTTGATTCATTTTATAGTCAATACTAGGAGTGTTCATAATTCGATTTTAATCAAATTAATTGACAGATCCAATTTAAATTAATTAATTAGTCGCTCACCGAATTAATTTCAGTCGATTAATAAAAATGATTTTAGAAGAATTTTGATTTTCGGTTAATTCAATTTGAAAATCAAATTAATCGAATTAACTGAAATTTTAACATAAATATAACATAATCTAAATATAAAAGGAAAAATACATGAAATAGATCACTTAATTTAATAACTTGTTAGAACTTTTAACATAATACTTTAGTATTTGAATATTTAATTGAATAATTTTATTTAGTTTGTTTAAAATATGAGAAATTAAAAGTTTAAAATATAATTTAATTTAAATGTATTTATTATTCGATTAATAAAAAAAATTAATCAAATTAACTGAATTAAATTCGATTGATTAATTTTTAAATTTCATAAATTCGATTCGATTAACGAAAATAAAATGATATAATTTAGTTAATTCAATTTTAAATAATTCGATTTGAAATTAATCGAACTGATAAAATAAACAACTCTTATCAATACCAATTGGATTTTTTTTTATAAACAAAAAGTTAACGTGGTTTGCTAACGTGGATAAAAACTAAAAATTTTTTAAAAATCACTTTTTATTTTAAATTTCAGGCCACGTCGTTAGATCATGTCCACTTTCATGTAAATAAAAATAAATCTAGTTGGTATTAACAATAAAAAGGCCAACTATTCATTTGAAATAAAATATAATTTGAGTATAAATTGAAAATTAATGATTTATTTAGATATAAATTGAAGTTTTTTTTTTTTTTGAATTTGGTGTATGAATATGATTACGAGAGATTACATGCCATTAAAAGTAATGGCAACATCATTGAGGGAAACAACTGTTGACAACATTACAGAGCCTTCTGGCGAGGAAATGGTAGAACTTCATCAGAGTATAAAAAAGTTAAAGGCAAACATGAAACATCACAAAATGTCTGTGAAGGGAAATCAACAAAAAGACAGAAAATATCATACAAGGACTCAGTTCTTGGTGGAGGTTTACGGAGCCTATGATACCATTGAAGAGCAGTCTAACTGTGAGGAAATGGAGGTGGTTTCAGAAGAAGAGCAAGATGCCCCCGAAGAATTGGAAGAAGGAGGGGAGTTAAGAATCTTCCTCAACGCAGATGAAAAGAGAAGAATCAGAGAAAGGGGGCGTTGTCCCTTATTCGTGAAGGTCTTCAGGAAAACTGTTTAGGTATATATACCTAAACAAGAAAATGCAATCTATTATAGAAACTCCAAAAGAGTCCCATTTGTGATTGACCTGGTCAGGACTTTTTCTTTCTGAAGTTCTAAAAACGCTGAAGTTTATAACTATGTCTTAAAAGGTAGGACTGTGGGTTCATAAAAAGGGCATTTCCTGACCATTAGAAAGATGGGAGCCATACTTGGAGCTTCTGAAGCCTCGTTCTCCTTAGTAGGCAGTTGGATTAAGATTCCTGAGCTTTCAGTAGAGTATTTCGACCTCGAAATCCTGAGAAAAATAGATTAGGCATATTGGGGTTCTTTTTAGAGTGGATGACACATTCTCCGTTGGCGAAAGGGGCAGGTTATGCTAGAATCTTATGTTCAAATGAGCCCTGGAAAACCCCTACCTAAGTATATTAGAGTGGAAGAAAGGAAACAAGCTATTGTCTACTAGAGTTTTGGCACGCTATGGTTTTCACTGCGGCAGGCTAGGCCATCAAAAAGACTTCTGTCTAATAACATTAGGCATAAGCAACACCCAGCTGGTTTTGCAAAGATCAGAGACTCAAGGCAGGCGGAGACAAGTGATACTAGTAAAAAATCGACGATGAAAGGGTTTGGCCCATGGATGATTGTACAAAGAATGAGACAACGTAACAACTAGGTTCTAAAGATCCAAAGGACATTGGCTCTTAACCAAAGGATCAAAACAACCCAATACCAGGGATCTATGCATAATCATGGATGCCCTCAAACAAGTAAAGAAGTTAGGATAGAGCATTCTGACAAAGAGAAAAGAAACAGTACCTTGGAAAAAAGTACCAACAATGAGGAAATAAGGGACAAAGGGAAAGAATTTTTGATTTCCAATACTAGTAAAATTTCAATGTCTGTAAACAACCTGAGCAACAACAGATGGGTGGTGAAAGCCAACAAGGAGAAAGGAGAGCCTTCCTTGTGCGCAAACACGAACCACGCTATCCTAAAACCAATACATGAAATGACATATGAACAAGTAAAGACTCTTGATAAGGTAAGGAGAGTGGATATAAATCCAACACAAACCTTTTCCATGCAACCAACAGCAAAGGATTCTGATGTACCAAGGCTGTATGCAAACACATAATTGGCACATAGTCTAAAACATGCCTTGAGGGCCCAAGCTATACCTACTTTCGTGCAAAAATAAGCTTATTCAAACATTTGTAATGCATTCCTTAGGCCAAAACCGACTCAGGAAACATTAGAGACCTTACGTCAATCAAAAATCAAGAAAAGAAGTCAACCTAGTGCGAATGGATTAGAGAAGAAAAGAGGTTCATCAGAAGAGGTTTGCCACTTAACACTTTCGACAGATGAGAGAGCCTGTTTTCTTAAAACAAGTAGCAAATGACATCCCTAACTCTATTCAGTTTTCAGTTGGGATTGGGAATCAGCCTTTCATTTTCGGAGCCCAGAACCCCAACGCAGGGATGGTCTGGGAAAAGGCTTAGGAGGTTCATTTCTCCTCGGGATAGAAGGCGAAGTCAGGCAAGAAAGGAAGGTAGAGAGCTTAGTAGGAAAATCGATATCAATTATGCCTCTTTTCATCTACCCATAATCGATACTGACCTTGGAAGAATCAAACTCAAAACTATTTCAGACCTTCTCATGGACTGAAAAAAAGGTTGAACCCCCCTATGGATTTTGTTCATACAAGAAGCTCAACTCACAAATTGACCTCTGGAGATCATGTTGAAAAGCACACAACAGATGGCGATGAAAATAAAGAACAGCCCGAACATAAAATAATTTCACATCTGTGCCAGCT